AGCATTTGATATTTTCAGTGTAAAGTTTCTTTAAACTGAAAACTTTAAAAATCGTAACTATAAGAAGCCTGTTCCAAAACTTTAGGTTGGAAGATGTTTAATGCAAATTAGACGATAACAAATGTTTCCCAGTACCATATCTGGTTTTCTTACATGTTGAGATGAAGTTCTAAAAAAACTCACAGGAAGTTATCTTTTGGGAGCGGCGTATTAACTAGGTTGCGCCTCCGAAATCCCATTCTATTTATTTACACAACTTTTTTTTTTTTTTTTTTTTTTTTTTTTTTTTTTTTTTTAAGCAAGATATTTTTACCACTTGCTATAAATTTCGAGTCATTTGGAGTAATTTATTGCTGCATTATATTCTTGAGCACTTCTTGCTGAATGTGAATACTATCAATAACTACGAATATATAGGTTAATTAGCACTAAATGGGGAGAATGACTCTAGTCTGGCTTAACTTTGTCCATTTTGTTGCACACTGCTCAAAAAAATGGAACAGTTCTATATCTCCTGTTCTAGTGAGCCTATTGACGAAATTCAAATTGCGTTTTCCATGTCTCAAAAGAGCGACTTAGGATATATATATAAGATTTATATAGCATTGCTTTATCATATTAAAAAAAGTGTGATTTTGACGCAAAATCACACTTTTTTAAAATAACATATTATTATTTTTTCATATTTCGATTCTACAACTCAAATATGCCTAGATATTAAATTTTGTAATTGTTGGTGAGAAACTTAGAACTTTATACTGGCACATTTTTTTCAGTTTGAGCCAAGAATAATTCACTTGGCGAACTTCTTAATTTATAGTAACCTATTTTCCTTTCCTTTTTTTCATTGTCCACGAGCGGGAAAAAGGTAATCGTTCATACTTTCAAACACTTTTAACAAAGTGCGTAAACCATATTTTCCTTATTATCGCTTATAATAAATACGCCAAATTTCAAAACGCGTCCAAATGTAAATTCACGTTATCTTAGGAAATGTTAAATAAAAATCTCTAATTTTTGCAGGTATATTAGAAATACATCTACTTTAAGATGATGGCAAACATTTTATAGGTTATAATTCAAAATTGTTTTCGAAAAATTTATAAAAATTATTTTAAAATACAAATTTTTAAAATAAATCATTTAAAAAATGGGCGAATTTTATTTGTAATGAAAACAAATTTCAAAATATGAAAGGAAGAATCAAATAAGTTTAATGAAAAAAGAGATATTAATAGATATATATCAAACACAATGAACATTGAGGAGCTAGAATTTTGAGAGCTCATTTTTTAAAAACTACTCGTGCGAGTTTTATAAAATTTGGTAGTTTGGCATAATTTGAGTCATAGAATCGAAATATGAAAAAAAAATTGACATGCCATTTCAGAAAAGTCCGATTTTCTCTCAAAATACCTATATTAGAACAATGATATATATAAATCTAATGCATATCCTAAGTCGCCCTTTCGAAACATGAAAAGCGCAAGTTGAATTTCGTCAATCAGCTCAGTTAGAACAAGAGATACAGAACTATCCCATATATTTTTTCGCAGTGTACATCTATTTTACGGAATTATATGATTGTGTTATAGAACGCTGTATAAATACATTATCCTTCTAAATGCGTCTTCTAAAGAGGTAAAATTTTGCATAAATCATTTCTCAAGAAGTATGCATTGTAACTAATGATGAATAAATGTGAATTTCTTATTTAAAGTTAATAAATATATTGTAGCTCTTCTGTGTGCTAATGACAATGAACTCTGAAACAACTTGAGAAATATAAATAAAGGTAAGGAACTTCACTAATGAAAATATTGGATTCGGTTATTGGAATGATGGCTGGCAAATCAGGCAGGCTAGGACTTGATCAGAGAATATGACATTTTTGGAGCTATTTCAGCGAAACCTTGACACGTATTTCTTATGTTCACGAGATTACACCATTTTACGTGTGCTAGGCAAAATTAACAGAATCTAGTATCTTCAAATTCTTGCTGTTAAATGCGCTTGAAAGAGGAAGCACAGAAGGACATTGCTATCGGTTTTTAAATCTCTGTGAAACAGAATAGTGTTGATACATTGGAACTTCAGAGAAGTATGTTAAACATACGTAAAAACTGTAACAACTAAAAACTTAGCATAAAAAAATAATTTCCTCCACCTCAAAGTTTAACGTAATTCAGTGTGATAAAATTCTGCTGAAAGAGGGAATTGCATGCAATATTTGCTAGGCCTTCGAAGCTGCTACTTCTTTTTTCGCACATATGTTTAAAATTTCATTTTTAAATATAACATAATTAATTAATAATAACATAAATTATTTTTTTTTCTGTCCGGTGTGATATTTATTCCATTCTTTGTCCGTGGGAAATTTATTATATGGATTAAGTTAAAGTTTAAATAAAACGTTTTCTCTCTTTCATATTCGAGTATGTATACCTATTCATTTACGTTTACTTTTGGTTTTTCAGATTAATTTTTCGACCGTTTTTATCACCAATAAGATAAAAAAAAGCTTCAGTTTTATATTTGTTGCTCATAGAAGTACAGTTGTTCTGTTTTCATGCACTTCCTTTCGTTTGCAGAGAAACATAGAGAGAGACCTGCGATATTAAAGACATGTAAACATTTTGTGGTATTCTCACCTGAAAATAATTAAAGTTTGTGATTCATAGAATCATTGAATGTATATTACACGAGTGTTCAAAGTGCGGCTCGCGAGCCTGATACGGCTCTCCTAGGCAATTTGTGCGGCTCATTATGCATATAAAATATATGTATGAAATATGGTAAACTAAAACTATTCAGTGTCCAAAAGGAAGTAATTAATTAGCTTAGACTCTTTTTACAAAGTTATCAGGGATTTCTTTCTATTTGAAACCTCCTCCACTACTTGTATAATGATGTAAATATGAACTTGTGGCTTTCAAACACTCCTGAATTCAAACGTGCGGCTCTTACTGACATGAAGTTTGGCCAACCTTGGTATATTATATAAGTTGGAAAATGTATTTCATATTGAGCGAATCTCTCAGTATTCAATAGCCGAATGGACAGATAAACATGGATTCGCATCGTAGGGAACAGGCTGAACATGGATGTTTTCATAATTTTCCCCATGTGTAAACTGAACACAAGCCAGTTAATTCTACATGATTTTAGATCTTGTTTGCTCTAAAATCTTTAAAATTGCTGTATCAATCCATTTTTAGATGCAAGTTACTTTTAAGCGAAAATGTCATTTTGAAGGGAACCAAGAATCATTACTGAAACAAAAGTTTCTAAAATAAAATAACAAAGCTTTAGTAACCGACTTAACGTAATTTTTCGCTTCTTACCGCGTGCCTTCAGGATGTCAATGTATAAGGTATTTATCCCACCTTCTTAGCGTGCCTTCGTGGTGTAGTGGTTCTGCACACTGGGCCGTGGTTCTATTTCCGGCGAAGGCGGTTGCTAATTTTTCATCTCTGGCTTTTCCAACTAACCTAATAATGTCTCTACAAATGGACCAAGTCCGGCTAGCAGCTAGCATCGGGAAGTCCAGTAATTGAATCCCAGTTAGGACACTGCGCATTTTCACGTCTCCTACTAAAAAAAAAAAAAAAAAAAAAAAAAAAAAAATTGATGCGGCTACAGCTAACTATAATGCATCATCAACTGGGTTTGGTGATTTAAGTCTCCAACTTCCCAATAGAGTCATCTTCTCACCCTTGCGTCTGTGGTGTAAATGGATAGCACATTCGGTTAGCATCAAGAGCTCCGGTGTTCGAATCCCAGCAAAAGCATTACACATTTTTCATGCCTTATGCTTCAGACCTAAAATATTAGTGTGTTGATGGACAATACTAATAACTGAACGTAACAGCTCAGAAAATTTAATTTTTTTTCTCCGTAGATTTCCCACATTAAACTTAGATAGTTTTACTTCATGGTGTAAAGAAATTTTCTTCTATTCCTGTATTTTACTCTGTAAATACCAAAATGTCTAACAAAACGTTTCGAGCCTTACCTCAAAATACACGATATGACAAGAATCAATTGAAATTCCTTGCCGATGCAGGTTTTGGGATTACTGATGGAACTACAACTAGGCTTTAGCAAATATTGCTTATGTGAGAATATAGTTGTTATGCACTGTTAATTCCAACATCAAGGAAAAGAAAAATCAATTGTTTTCCTTTAAAATGAATGTAAACGTATTAATTAGATTTAAAAGAAATAAATTTTGGGCATACATTTATGATTGGGAAAATTTCAAAATAACTGATCAATACGATTCTGAATTTTCGCAATTATCCAAGTTTGCATTTATCGCTTACATTTATTGGTTGCAATACTTTTTTAGAAAAACAAAAAGGGGTTCTTTATGATTTGTTTGTGAAGTCTTAAATGTCACTTATATAGCTACTAACAATAAAGAAGAAGAAAATGCCATTAAAAATTATAGTAATATATTTAACAGTCTGCAGAACAGGTTAGCTGCAAGCATAACTCCTATCCTCCCTAATAGGTAAGACAAATGTGTCTCAGGTTCCGTTAGGCAGTTTTCCCTTAAGACGTTTTCTCCAATCCACTTAACCCAAGCATAATGGACAGATACCTATCTACGTTGCTATGTAATCTAACTCGAGATAAAAGTTATAACCTTTGTAATCTAACCGATGCTATGTATTTATAAACATCCATGTCTTACCCAGGCTCCGAACCCGGGACCTTCGATACCGTAGTAAGCTCCCCTAACCACTATACCGCTAAAACCCACTTATACGTACGAAATAGCAGTTTAATTTTGGTTTAACACGGCTGAGCCCTGAACTCTCTAAAAAACCAATAACAGAATATTAAGTTTTTGTTTTTTTTTTAATTTTATTTTATTAGTATATGTAGGATAAAATTTCCTTTTCTACCAGTTAATTGTGCATATTTCGTTAAATTATACGTTTATTATAGTATTGCATTTTCTTGAAATATATATATATTTTCTTTGCCTTTAGGTCGTCCTGAAGTAACGGCTGTTAACAAATCACTGATGGCTATGGCAGGAAAATCAGCTGTACTAGCAGGTCAGCTCTGCTCTACTCCACGTCCGCTTAAAGTTCTTTGGATTCTGCGTCATCTAGTACTTAGCCCTGGTGACGTCAAACATCCTTATATCGCTTACAATCTAACTGTAAGAGACTGATTTTTGCATTGTATAAATTTTATTGGGTACTTTTCCGTTTCGCCGCCGCAAATCTCGCCAAGGAGACTTTATTGGCGACAACACAGGGTATACACATAAAACATGTTAACAAATGTTAGTTCTAAGGATTTTTTATTTTGAAGGCATAAACATTTTAATATCGTTTAAACTTTGTAAAAAGGCAATAAATAAAGACAATAAATTTGTAAAACGAAATTGATTTAAGAATTTACTCTGCTTTCATGGTACAGCATCCTGATTCGCTGGTTCATATCACGTGACTCCAAGTGATCTCATCTCGCGTAAACTAAGCTACAAAAACCTAATTCTCTTATTAATTTCACGTTATTAAATTTTAAGTTATCCAGTTATTAGTTCATTCTACATTAATTTCAATTTAAATCTTAATATGGAATATAAGCTTAAATGCAAGAATCATTTTTTATTCGTACGAATAGCTTACTCAGAAATTATGTAAAACCGCAGTGCTTTACTTCGCTAGCGCATTCGCATTAGAATTGATGAATTTAACTCTTTACTTTGCCTTTTCTATATTTGGCCTTCGGATGAGCCGTGTGATTGCATCCTAATTGACTTAACTACCGCGAATGGCCGTAGGGCATAAAATTGAACTATCTGGTAAAACTTTTATGCAATTTTATGCCAGTATTGAAAGCAACAATTATAATAAGAAATGGCTGCGACTTGTTTTAAAAATGAGGCGTAAAAGTTTACCAGCGAGGATATTCCGTTTGGCATCGGTTGTACTATTTTCGACGACTTTATCGCCTGCGCCAGCAAAACGGAAAAGTACCTTTTATTGTTTTCATACCAACTATCTCCAGTCTTTTATATAGCTGTATTAAAGATTTAATACACGGTAAAAATAGCTACGTTGATCAGCCAGATTAAATTTAAAATGTTATATCTTGATGTGTAACAGCAAATAATACGAGATTTTACTTTAGCGGCAGTACATTTTTTACTTTAGCGGCAGTCAGTAATTTAATTATTGTTCTTCAAATGTATAATATTGAGTATGGGTACTTAAATAACGTAAGTGAGTAAAATGAAAGATGAAGTAAAATCTTGACCGTAATTGAGTAAAATGAAAATATTCTACATATTAAATTATTGATAGAACTGAACAAAAACTGGATCTCAGATAGAACATGAAGGGACTGAAAACGTTGAGGGATACTCTTACATGTTTAATTTCTTTTGATTGATTCTAAAGCATGATATTTTGCTTCTCATTATACCAAAAGTGAATATTAGCTTTATTTGAAAAAAAATTGTAGTAAAGTTTATTTTTGATATTAAAAACATGTTGTGAGAATTTGCATCAATAGTAGCAAAGTGTTGAAATTAAAGAACTGTAAAGAAAATTAAAATGTACTGCCAATATTTTAAGGGGACTCATACACCTTAAAACCCATAAGATCTTCGAATACGTGACTGTTCCAAGAATTGGCATAACTCATTTATTTTAAAAGCAAATACTTCCAACTTTTTACAGCTGACTACCTAATATAGCTGCTTTCTGAAATAGTAATCAGAAAATTTGTGTTGCCACAAATATTTTTATAATTTAATCCGCTTTGTGACAAAACTTTTCGTCATGTTTCCATCTTCCGCACACAGTTTCAAATATTCTGTTGCATAATTGAATTCCACATTTAATATATAGCTTTTCTAACATTTGGAAACTACTGTGAACCAAAAATCCTAAGAATTTCATTTTTCCTAAGAAATTTTTATTTTACTTGGATTGAGTTTATAAAATGTATTTTATTAAAAATCTGTAATGTTTTCGCATATAAAATTTTTTAATATTAAAATATTCGTCAGATTTTTGGCTCAGTTAGAAAATAGTGCCCATATAAAGAATTCCATCAAATTTCGAGTACTTATCATTAGCCATTTTTAAAATATCATGCGTGCAAGGTGGAAACATGACGAAACATTTTGTCACAAAGTGGATTAAATTACAAAAATATTTGTGGCAACACAAACTTTCTGGTTATTAGTTCCCAAAGCAGCTATATTATGCAGTCATCTGGAAAAAGTTGGAAGTAATTGCTTTTAAAATACAACTAAAATATCCCAATTCTTGCAACAGTCACACATTCGAAGATCATAAGGGCATTAAGGGGTATTAGCCCTCTTAAATAGCTACACAACAATGGAATTTACAAGAAAATGTGAGTGAAGGACCCCCAAGTTCCATTCTCTGTCAAAGCAAAATTTGTATACTTCTTATTCCTTTCTTTTAGCTTTAACAAAAGCTTTTCATAACGAAAACAGATCTTGGAGGGCTTTTAGACTGGGCTTTTTGCTACCTTGTAGGGTTTCCCTTATTTTGCATAACAAATTATTTTAAGTTTGATACCTTTCCTGAACTCCTCAACTTCCCCTCGCATTTCCTCCCCAGGATGTAAATTTTAAAATTAAGTGAAGGGAGTATTTAAACGGGTGAATATCCGAGTTTAGTCAGAGCGTGATTTCGGTAGCCAGCTCACGTTTTGTTGCTATCTCGCTGTTACGCTAGTACGCCTCTTGTCCATTTCGGATTATCGTCACGCCTGTTAGGCTTTATTGAGTCGAGTTAGACGTAACTGAACGTGCTAGTCTAGCACTATTCTATTTTAGATTTGAATTAGTTTATATTCTACGTTTAAGTTTCAGACGAGTTGACGGTGTTATTGTAAAACACGAAGATCGTGCCTTATGTTAATTTTTTGGAATTAAATAAAGAGTTACTTTCGCCCTTCTTCTGTGCTGGTACTTTATTTACTCCTGTGAGTGAATTCGCCAGGTTCATTGTAGGATCTAGACAGAAGAACAGAAGAGGCAGATCTTACAAGCTTTACTTCGTGACTCATTCCTTTCCAAATTATACAGGGGGAGGGCGTAGATGGATCCTATCCACCAAAAGCCAGACCTGCTTAAGAAAGAACATAAATCCTTCGATGACGTAATATTTCATAGGCCAAAAAAATCTTCATTTCTGACAGAAACAAAATCTTTCCATATTTCAGGTAACGTAACTTTTAATACCTTCCATTGCTTTTAAATTCTAGATGGAAATGTTATGCTGGTATGCATGACGCTTTGTGAACAAATCCTGAACATTAAGATCAAATAACAAGCCGAACAACTATCAATTTAGCATTCAAACAACAAAAATCAGCGTTATATTTGCAAATTTCACAGGACTTCGCTCGATGGTTTTCGATGGCAAATACTGAAAGAATTCTCAGAATTGTGCAACAAAAAGGGCGGGACTAGTTTTAGCGCAGTTTGAGTATTTCAGAATTATTACTCAAGTGTAGGCAGAATGTTTTTGTGTACCACAAAATAAGCAGACAGAAGTTATGAAGGGAAAGTACTTATATTCTAATTATTTTTTTAGTATTTCTAATGTCAGTTATATTCGAAAAGATAAACACATACAGAAATAAGTGGAGAGAATCGTGTTTTAATGCTGGAACCATTATCTCTTTCAATTGCATATTTATTCTTGTGGTTTAGCTTAAAAAATCTGTTGTGTACACCACAAAATAAGCAAATATACATGTGGCAATAATTATCTAATCGTTGAACATTTGGCAATAACTATCTAATCGTTGCCACATGTTCTATTCAAATACTCTAATATATCTAGAACGATGCATAAAAGAAATTAAGCAAACAAAACAAAAAGAACAGTTTTTCACAGTCGATTCAGTATTTCTCATTCAATTAATTCAGTTCTCACTTCGCGACAAGGCAAAAACACATAAAAACTCAACATATATGTATTAAAAATTACGAAGTAAATATTAATAACACTTAATCGAAGTAACACTTATTTTCTCGAAAAAATTCCAGAAAGGATTAAGCATGATTTAATTCGCAATAATAAATGAAGGCATTATCTTTGTTGTTGCGAAGCTTAGTCTCTCTAGATTGGCAACAAATCTACTATTCTGCTGTTTCAAATGTAAAGAAATATGTCTGCATGTTATTTAAAACTTAAGGTTTAACCGCGCTTAAACAGCTTTTAAATTGTTGATAATTTTACAAATATTGCTTGCAGATTTCCTAAAGTCATAAAACCTTAACCGGAAAATAAGAACAACATAATTCAATCATTTTTAAAGCAAAAAATGCACAATTTACAAACATATAAGAGTAAAGAAACTGAGATCACTGAGCCGGGTAACAAAGTGGATACATATATATAAATATATTTATATATGCTTGGTGCGGCCGATTGCAACCAAAATACGAGGTGACCATCTACATGTTATAGCAGTCCTATATACAAAATTTCAACGTTCTGAGGCTACTCGTTTTTGAGTTATGCGGGATACGTTTGTACAGACGCCACTAAAAATTTCTCTTCAGAATTCATTTTAAAGCAGTTTTATAATTTTGGGGAGGAAAAGGGTCTTTTATCAAAGTGGAAAAAAAAACCCTGTCTGTAGAGTATAATTATTTATCAGAGAGTACAGCATCATTTTTAAATTGAGACTATCTCCGAGGGACCATCCAATAATTTGCTCGTTTATATACATTTGTAGTCCGCACGAAAACTTAAAATCAAAGACACAAATGTATTCTGTTAAAAGTATATCTGTCGAAAGTAAAATTTGTGAGCTTTAAGTTGTTGCTTAAGCTGTTCTGAATGACATAAAGTTTGATATTTAAAATTTCGGCAGCACATTTCACGATACTTAACGATATTAGCATCATCGGCAAGAGTGCTTACGTAACCTTACATTGTCTTTAAACCCAACAGATCAAAATATTTAAATGTATAGTTATTACTGAAAGATTTTAGTAAAACTACATATTCTATATTTAAGACCAAATTGCTACTGCGCAGTTTGAGGTCTATGAAGGAACTGAGTGAGGTGTGTATATTTCTGTTGTACACTTTTCTTAAAAATATTCCAATAAGTTTAGTAATTAAAAAATTATCAATTTCAATATATTTTTAA